TTTTATGCACTCAATTAGCTCGTCCTCTCCCCTCATCGAAGCCACAGACCGCTTGCTCTCCCGTCTCCCGCACCAAAGCCGCAGACCGCTCCGCTCGATCCCGTCTCCCGCTCGATCCTGTCTCCCGCATCGAAGCCGCAGACCGCTCCGCTCGATCTAGTCTCCCGCTCGATCCCGTCTCCCCGCATCGAAGCCACAAACCCCGCTCGACGCCCTCGCCTGCTTCCTCTCTCTCAACCGAACTCCTCGCCGCTCTCTGCTTGATCCCGATCTCCCGCACCGCAGCTCCGCTCGATCCCGTCTCCCGCACCGAACGCAGACTCGCCTTCTTCCTCCGCCATCAAGCTCTCCCTGGACCGAAGACCTCTGTTCCCTCGTCTCCCTCGATCCCGCTCGTCTCCCTCGCTCGACGGGATTCTCCCTTCCAGCGAACCGAAGCGCCCTGCTCTTACGCCGAAGACGCTGCCATTCCTCGCTTTCGCCTCCTTTCATTAGTTTTCTCGTCTCTTACAAAGCTTTTATGACTTAATCCGTGAATTGAAGTGCCTGAATTTAAGAGATTTGCTGATTTCTTTTACATTAGTCTTTTTCTTTACCATGAGATATAAGGATTGAATTACTTAAGCCAAGATCATGAATCCCTCTACACTTGCCCATATGCAGATTTTATAGTTCCTTTAAGCTCATCCTTTTGCTTAGCTCCCGATGCTAAAAATTATATATTATTTTTTTATGAAGGCTTTCATATATATTATACATCATTGCATATTTATGTATGTAACACCTAATCTTTGGTTTTAGAATGGAAACACCTTTTTTTTTATGAGAAGGATGTCTTCGCATGCTTAAAGATTTACACACTGATTTTGAGTGTCTTGTGAGCTTGTTTTGGGGCTTAATTTTGTTCCGTTGCTGCCCTCAATCTTTGAAATGCATGCTGAATGTAATATTTATTTTTTTTGGAAGCCTTTTGAACTCATTTTGGAGGCTCGATTTTGTTTCCGGTTGCTGTCTAGTATTTGGAAACTGCTGTAGGAAGCCGTTTGAAGTAGGAAGCAGTTTGAGCCTTGGAAAGTGCTGACCAACATTTGGAGATCCTGTAGGAAGCTGTAGGAGAGCCGGGAGAAGGGTTTAGTTACTGTTTGGAGTGTTTGGAGGTCATTTAGTTGCTGTTTGGAGTGTTTGGATGTCATTTAGTTGCTGTTGGAGCCTTAGGAGTGCTGTTGGAAGCTTAGAAAAGCCTTGAGAGTGCTGCTTGGGCTTTAAATTTGTCGTTTGGGAGCTGTTTGAGATGTAAGACTGCTGCCCATTGCTAATTAAGGGCTGTTAGGAGTGTGTGGAAGCTTTAGAGGGTCTTAGGATCGCCGTACAAGCCTGTTAGTTGCTGCCCCGGGCTGTAAGAGCTGTAGGACCGCTGTCCAATGCTTCTATTTGCTGCCCAGTGTCGTAGGAAAATCGTCTAGTTGCCCACCACGATTTGGGTTCGTAGGAGCCACCTAGTAGCTGTCCACCACCGTTTGGGTTCGTAGGAAGCCATCTAGTAGCTGTCCACCACCGTTTGGGTTCATAGGAAGCCATCTAGTTGCTGTCCACCACTATTTAGGTTCGTAGGAGGTCGCATAGGTGCTGCCCATTGCTGTTTGGGTTCATAGGAACTCATATAGGCGCTATTCAAAATTCCTAGCTGCTGTCCGGAGTCGTAGGATCACCGTACACACTTGCTAGTTGTTTCCCGGAGCCGTAGGAGATCGTAGGATCACCATACTAGCTCGTTAGTTGCAGTAAGGAGTTGTAGGAGACCTTAGGATCACCCCTTTTGGAATTCATAGCTGTTACTACAACTTGTTCTTTTTCAAAGCAAAACAATTTTTCAAAATTAAACAATATTTTCAAATTAAACAATATTTTCAAAAAAAAAAAACAAAACATAACACGTTCTTTCGAACTTACGGGAGTTCCTGGGAGGAGGTAATCCACGGTTGCTAACGAGATCTTCCCGGTTTAAATGAATTTCACACCTCGTTTAAACTAAGTAAGTTTAAAAGGAAATAGTGATACCGGAACGAGGGAACCATGAGATCCTAACCGGTGTCGCTCTAATCAACTTGAACCCCCCCCAATGACAACCAAACTGAGACATTGAAACACACATGGTAAAACTGTTTGAATTTTAGAATTTAGGATTGTTACTTTGACGAGGAGCTCGGAGCAACTTCCTGGGCAGCACTGTAAGAAGTTTGGTGCGGACTATAAGTGGAGGTGGTCGCCATTCTACAACAGCAAAATGAGTCTACACCAACTAAACTTTCATAATTTAAACAACCTATAGGATTTTGAGGTAGCTCACCTAGTGCGACGTAAAACCTCACCCTCTTTTAGGCCCCTGCACAACCATGTTGTGCACACAACCATGTTGTGCAGTGTAAGTCCTAACTCGCCTTAGATTTCGAGGTTATCATCTAGAATGACGTAAAACCTCTTATCTTTGCGGGCTATTTACATAACCAGTTATTATGCAAATGTAAGTCCCAAATAATAAAATTAACAGGATTAAATACTCAAATAACATATCTTTAAAACACAGCCACACATTAAGATAGTTTGAGAAGTCACTGAGGATTCCCCTCTGGATCTGTTGGATCTGTGACATCCCGTACCTTTACTTCCTTTGGACGCCTGAAAGGATTGTTCTTACTTGAGTCATTCCCACTTATTTTTTCACATCCTATCTTGAAAACCTGAACTTTGAATTCTTGAAGACTAGAACCACTGATCATTATCGAGAGTTTTCTCAACTGATTTCCGTAACTTGGGATGTAATTAACTATAAGGGCTTGCCTCTATAGGGAACTTGGAACCCAGGTAAAATAAACCCTATTTAACCTTTGTATTAAATAGGGGAATTTGTCGGTCACATATAAAATGTTCGCAGACCAAATGAATGTCATAAACCTCTTAGTTTGTATGATTGGGTCCGCCGCCGCGGGATA